TAGTAATTTATTAAGCCCAAAAAAGCTCTTAGTTGTTGGGTATTTTCAGGTTTGGGTGCTTCTTTAATGGCTTTTGTTTTCTCAGGTTGAGGTCTGATGCCTTGTTTGCTCAATATATAACCAAGAAAACTAATTTCTGTCAACATGAATTGACATTTATCTTTGTTTATCTTTAAACCTTTTTCACCAACAATTTTCAAGACTTTATCTAGTGTTTTAAGATGTTCAGTGTCATTCTTACCAGTTATGTACACATTGTCAAAGTACACACAAACATTTGGAATATCCTTAAAAATACTGTCCATGACAGCTTGGAAAATTCCAGGGCTAGATGATATGCCAAAACATAGTCTTTCATATTGGTAGAGTCCTTTATGTGTGTTTATTGTCGTATAGACTTTTGAATCTGGATGCAGTTCTAGTTGAGTGTAAGCATGACTAAAGTCTAATTCAGTGAATTTGTCTCCTCCTGCCAAATTCAAAGAGATTTCCTCAATGTTAGGTATAGGGTACCTATTTAGCTCTATTTGCTTATTCAGTGTAGTTTTATAATCTCCACAAATTCTTATAGAACCATCCTTCTTTAACACTGGCACAATGGGTGTCGCCCAATCGGAATAGTCTACCTTCTTTATAATGCCATTAGATTCCAATCTACTTAGCTCATTTTCAATTTTATTCCTCATTGCATAAGGTGGAACTCTAGCTTTGCAGTATCTTGGATTTGTATCTTTAATGCTTAACTTCACTGTTCTATCATTTAGTAAACCTGAGTTACCAAAAACACATTTATTTTCAGATATAACTTTATCTAGTGAAGTAAGACTAGATTCTTTTACATTCTTCAATGAACAAATACTCTCCCAATTTAACTTAAGATCACTTAACCAGTTCCTACCTAGTAATGGCGGTCCATTTCCTTCAACCACAAGAAGAGGAAGTTTAACACTTTGACCATTATAACTTACATGAACCATACACTCTCCTATTACCGGAACGTTGTCACCAGTGTATGTTGTTAGGCACTTGTGACATGGCTGTAGAGGCACTGATCCTCCTGTGACAGCGTCAAAATCTTTCTTTGTTATGACTGTTAGAGATGCTCCAGTGTCAAGTTGGAAGCTGATGCTCTTACCGTTGATATTAACTGGTACATTGATGGGAGCATGACTTATTGATTTCACAGAGAACAGGCTGAAATCCGGCTGCGAATCAGTTTGAGAATTTTCACAGGTAGAGTGGTTCATTGGTTGGGTTAGGTAGTCTTGGTGAGAGTTAACATAGTGCTGCCTTTGGTTGCGGTACTGTCTTGACTGGCTAGATTTAGCAACAGACGAAGACTTTGCAAAGCAGGCCTTGGCAATGTGACCTTGCTTACTGCACTTATAACAAGTTGCAGACTTGAACTTGCACCGATGAGATGCATGGGGACCCTTGCATCGATGACATTTTTGATAATTATTACTAGATTTAGATCTAGGATTTGAACGAGCAGGCTGTTTAGCATAAGTTGGAATGCTCTGATGGGGTTGATGTTTATTGACTAACCTGCTGTTTACTGCATGGATCTCTGAAGGTGCTAAAGATCTCGCCGCATCTGATGACTGCTGGAATGACATTGCAAGTTGTATTGCTTTTTCCAATTTTAGATCTGACTCGAGCAGCAACTTTCTTTGAATATCAGGGCTGTTTACACCTGTCACAAACTTTTCACATAGTCTATCAGACAGCGTGTCGCCGAATTCACAAAATCTACTTAGATGACATAAAGCAGCAACATATTCTGATATTGACTCGTTTGGTTGACGAGTCCTACTGTCAAATCTAGCTCTACATAGAAACCTTGATGGTACAGGCGCATGGTGGTCTGTTAGCAATTTGCTCAGCTCGTTAAAGCTCTTGGTAGTTAGACTAGCTGGTGCGCATAAGTCTTTTAGTAGCCTAAATTGTTGAGGCCCTATGACTGTTAACAAAACAGCTCTCTTTTTGGCTTCTATCGTCACGTCGTTAGCTTCAAGGTAAAAGCTTAACCTATCTAGGTAATCTTGAATGATTTCATCATTCGCATCAAATTCTTTTATTTGGCCATACAACGCCATTATTCTAGAAATAATTAGCTAATAAGCTCTAGCAAACCTCTTTTTTGCGTAAGTAGGTGCTCTTTCTACTAGATGTTTATCCTTCGTCGCCAAATGAGGTAGATTATGAATACAACGGAGACAGAAGCCATGAGTATGTAAACAGCTTTAATTGTTAACCGGCAAGGACGGAAGTACAATGCACAAGGGACATCACTCAAGATAACAATATTATAAATATAACTAATACAGAAGAGTGAGTTCCCTTGACCTCACAATTATTTCAATCTATTACAATTTAAATAACTATAAAGAAAAGCGTGGGTAACTTTAGTATCTATTGGATACCTTTACTAATATTTAGGAAGTGACCCACGCTTTTCTTTATAGTTATTTAAATAGTAGTCTATAATTTATTTTCTACCTTTTAGTGCATTATTACATAAAACCTTGTTATTAAAACTTTTTTATGAATTTTGTTTAGTACTTTACATGTTTTTATTTACAATAGAGTTTCATGACTAAAAACCAATGCTCGCCTATTGAACGTGATGGCGCGCTATTGAACGTGATGACGCGTGTGGAGTAGTTGGATAGAAATGCCTACTAATTTGGTCAAAATTTTAATTTATTCATAAAAAAATTAATTATGTATCAAATTAAGTCAAAGTTAATGTCACGATGCATTGTCTTCATGTCTTGATCCACGTACCAATTACGAACCGTATCTGTCTTTTAGAAGTGCCTGCGATTTTGCTCGGCCGTTTTGATCTAGACAGACTGACGACAGACTGACGACAGAGGAAGTGAGGTAAATAAAAGCTTGTAACAAAAATTTCATAAAAAAACGTTTTAATAACAAGCTTTTATGAACTAATGCACTAAAAAGTAGAAAATAAATTATAAGAAAAGCGTGGGCCACTTTAGTATCTATTGGATACATTTACTAATATTTAGGAAGAGATCCACGCTTTTCTTTCTAGTTATTTAAATAGTAGTCTATAATTTATTTTCTACTTTTTAGTGCATTAGTACATAGATACTTGTTATTAAAACGTTTTTTATATAAAAAAAATTCAGTACTTTACATGTTTTATTTACAATAGAGATACATGACTAAAAACCATTGCGCGCCTATTGATCGTGAAGGCGCAGCTATTGCACGTGATGACGCGCTTTTGAAGTGCGTCTAGACGCGTTTGGATAGAAATGCCTATTAATTTGGTCACATTTTAAATTAATTCATAAAAAATTAATAAGCATCCAATTAAATCAAATTTAATTTCAGATTGCATTGTCTTTATGTCTTGACCCACGTACCAACTGTGAATCGTATCTGTCAAGTAGAAGTGTCCGAATTTTCGCTCCGGCGTTTCGATCTACATAGACTGACGACAGAAGTATTTTGATATTAGATGTCTTCATAATTTTTAACTTAATGTAATTATTTAACTGCTTATTCAGTAGTAAAATATAGATAATTCATACTATTATGTGTGTTTTCTCAAATTACGTATACTACATACTGAAGTAGTAGAGAGGATAGCTTATTAAGAATAACATCCGACCAGCTATCAGCAAACTAGAAACTAAATCGTGTGTGAGTGTGATGTACAGGGTTTCATCTTAATCTTGCATTTTTTTGGAAGCATAGAAACATATCATATATGAGGTATAAGTGCAGGTTCGAATAAAAAAGCGTTAAAAACAAAAACACAATAGTAAATTAAATAACAGTGAAGAAGAAAAGAGGGGGGGGGGGGTTAAAGGTTTTAATAAAAAGCAATCACTAGTTTTCCATAAACAGTAATTTTAAATGCTGAGTCTCTGCTTCTGTTTTTACTTTCTCGTATATACAAAGTATAGAGAATCTTGTAATCGTGCAAAAAAAAAATCGATATTTTTACAAATCTCGACGTTTTACACCTCACTGATACGGAAAAACATAATTTTGCAATCTTGTCCGTATATCTGTGTGTCTGTGTGTGTGTCTGTGTGTGTGTGTAATTACGATAACTTGAGTAGCGTTATAGCTAGATTGATGAAATTTCATATATAGGTATTTTATCAAAATCGTAGATCCTGAACAACTTTTGAGCGATTTCCGATAACCGGAAGAGGTACTTCCAACAGCCTATAACTTGAGTAGTATTTCAGATAGATAAATGAAATTTTACATGTAAGTAAAAGATCTAATTTTCTACCTTCTGTCAAATTTTGAGTAATTTTCGTTGACCGGAAGTACTATTTTACGCTATTTCCGATTTCTCAAAAAACTAATATAAATTTTTAAAGTACTAATAATATTGCGCACTATTATGCACTTTTTTATTTGGCGTTCACTTGGTGTGCAATTCTTTTGTCTACGAGATTTTATTCTATTTTCAAAACTTAAAGTATTTAAAATGGATTAAAAATCATGTCTATAGCCCGAGTTCCCATCCCCTGTTATTTTATATAAGAATATTCGAGATAGTTTTGGGGAGATCACTCCCGGTTTATTTCTACTAGATTTTATTCTATTTTAAAAAGTTTAAGTAAACAAAAATCATGTCTATATTGCGAGTTGCCATCCCACGTAGTTTTATGTTAGAATATTCGAGAAAATTTAGGGGAGATCACTCCTGGTTTATTTTTCATTCGTTTCTTACGTCAGTGTAAATTTAAATTTTCTTGTTGTAGACCAATTTCTAACTGTGAAACTCTTCATACAGTTTTAATTTTAATGATTTTATTATTCTTCAAATAAAATGTTTAGTATCAGCCTTTTATACTACATCTAGAAATAACAAACACGTTTTGTTACTGAAAATATTCGCAGTGACACCTTCGTCAGGAATTGAGTTCTTTCAGTCGTCTAGATCAGAATTCCACATTTACGGATATTTTGGCAAAAGTTACGATTCAAATATCGAATTTAAAATGTACAAGTTCATCAAGTTCATCATAACTGTAAGTAGATGACCTTAAAGAATAAGATATAGATCTACCTATGTCGCTTGAAAAATTATTTCAGACCAAAAATTATTTCGCCGGCACTACAGTGACAAACATTGATGCCATTTATTACGAATGACACCCATGACAAACATTGATGCCATTTATTACGGATGACACCCATTTAATTGTTCACCAGGTGACCAGTGATGAATATTCACATTCAGCTGTGGTGAGTTTCAAGGACGCCAACGTGTCATTGTGTAAAGTGACAAAAAATGAAGCAGACGTAGCAGACGTCATTACGGCAACTGTTTCATGTGGCTATCCAAACCACTCTAATTACATCAACCACGTCGAGTTGTTGGATTCTTTCTTTTACAGTTTGTTATAAGAATATGTATATTGAGTCTAGCAAAGCACACGCTTATTAATTTAACTATGTTGCAGAAAGACACATATACATATGTTCAATTATTATGAAATCTACTTAAAAATCTAGAAATAAAGCTGCTAGTCTAATTACAGCATTGCGCAACATATATTAAGAATGATCTATTTCAGATTTTGTAAAAATAAAAAAAGACGGGATCATTGAAATAAAAAAAACTATTGAACAGTTGGGTTCTGGCAAACACCAAATAAACTTACAAGTATACTACCGAGTGCTACGTGTTGGTGAATTTTCCTCAGAAGTTCAAATTGAGATTCCTTCAAACAGTAAATGGGATATCCCAACGACTTTAACCAGCTACACAGATAATGGCTCAACTACACCAGCAACTTCATTGTACAGCATACAAACACACTCTTCTTCACTGATTACAAATACAGATCTCATTTCATCCTCCACTCCAACTTCAACCACACTCTCCACCCACGGTAACACCACAGAAACAGATTTAATTTCATCCTCTACTCCAACTTCATCCACACTCTCCACCAACAATAACACCACAGAAACAGATCTCATTTCATCCTCTACTCCAACTTCATCCACACTCTCCACCAACAATAACAGCACAGAAACAGATCTCATTTCATCCTCTACTCCAACTTCATCCACACTCTCCACCAACAATAACAGCACAGAAACAGATCTCATTTCATCCTCTACTCCAACTTCATCCACACTCTCCACCAACAATAACACCACAGAAACAGATTTAATTTCATCCTCAACTCCAACTTCATCTACACTCTCTACCAATAGTATCTGCACAGAAACACATGTTGTAACACCCACAACATACTCACACATCACTACTGATGCCTTCCTTCCCACATGGGATATATTAGGTAAGTTTTGAAATGTTTTCTTTTAATATTTGTCTTATGAAATTCCGTAAGTGTCTCTTTTGCCAAAAATAGTATTATCGGATCAACTTCAATACAACAAATGTAAATGTTAATTGTAGTGTAGATTTCTGTACATTTTAATAGGGGTAATTCATAAGTTTAATACGGAAGGAATAAAACGTGAAACATTGATACAAATTGCTAAGATTTGAATTATTACTAAACAAAATTTTTCCTGGGATTAAATAAAGGCGAACCAATAATATTAAGTTTCCAAGTAATTTTTATATCGTTCTAAACGTTTATTTGCTTTCTCGTATATACGAAGTATAGAGAAAGTCTTGTAATCGTGCACACAAAAAATCGAGATTTTTGAAATCTCGACGTTTTACACCTACATGAGTCGAAAAACATAGTTTTGCTATCTTGTCCGTATGTCTGTGTGTATGTGTGTGTAAACACGATAACTTGAGTACCGTTACAGGGAGGTTGATGAAATTCCATATGTAAGTATTATATCAGAATCGTAGATCCGTATCAGTTTTTGAGCGGTTTCCGATAACCGAAAGCGTCATTTTTTCTATTTTCAATTTTTAAAAGCCTATAACATGAGTACTATTTCCGATAGATAAAAGGAATTTCACATGAAAGTAAAAGATCTAATTTTCTACCTTCCATCCAATTTTGAATAATTTCTGTTGAACGGAAGTAGTTATGCTCGCTATTTCCGATTTCTCAAAAAAAAAAACGCATGTGAATTTATAGGGTACTAATAATATTCCACACTATTGTGCACATTTTATTTGGCGTTCACTTGGTGTGCAATTCTTTTTTGTACGAGATTTTATTCTAGAGTCGGAAGAAAAATTTATTTTCTACTTTTTAGTCCACAAGAAAAACGTGTTTTTTTTAAAAAGTTTTTTTAAGTATTTTATTTTCTCCTTTTTAGTCCGTTGCTACACATAAATAAAAACGTGGTTTTTAAAAAGTTTTTTATATAGTTTATTTTCTACTTTATCTAATGACTTGATTAAGTATGACTTGACTAAGTGTTTTTAAATACATAAAAATTTAGAGGATTTTTTATCAAAATAAAAAGGATCAAAAGGTTTTTGAATGCTTTTAGGTAGTTGGCCCACCGTCCATCCCTCCTCGAACAGAACGGTCTACTGACTTGAACTCGGATTCGAACCCGAGACTAACGGGTTAGCAGTCCAGCTCTCTACCGCTAGACCACTCCGTCGCCTAATAAAATGTGTATAAAAGTGCGGGATATTATTAGTACTTTATAAATTTACATGCGTTTTTGAGAAATCATGTCCTCAATTTTAGGGTCCTTGGGGCGTAATTTAATTAAGCTAATTTAGGTCTCTAATTGCTAGTTTTTATGATTGCATCTGAAATTGTTAGGCGAAAATAGCCTGCATGCCGAATTTCAGATGTCTAGAGCAATCAGAAGTGGGCTAATTTTCGTTGCCAATTTTAACAACAAACCCACAAACAAACAAACGCGAAGCTGAGTTAAGAAAAACGTGTTAAAAACAAACACAACACTCATAACATAAACACATCTTAAATGCAATCTTAAAGGCATATTGCTCACAGTTTAGCCCATAGCGCTAAAAAGCGCCCTTTCCGAGCGCCGGCGGACGCGTCTGACACAGTGAATGACTATAAAACAGAGGCGTAGCGACCATTTCCGGCGCCCGGGGATTAACTTTCGATTTGACCCCCCCCCCCCATCTAAAACTTACGATTTGCAACCCCTCCCCTCAAAATTTCAATTTCCACCCCACCCCCTCAGACTTTCGATTTGCACCACTTTTGATTTGAAATTCCCCACGCCCAAACTTTTGATTCGCACCCCCTCCCCGCCCTAAAACTTTCAATTTCGAACCCCCCCCCCCCCCACACCCCCCGAAATTTATTTCCAACCCACTTTGGCGCCTCCTAACAACGGCACCCGGGGACATATGCCCCCCCCCCCCCTCGCTACGCTTCTCCTATAAAACCCCCAGCTTGTCCGCAAACCGAAAGATAGAATAATAATAAATAATATAAAAAAAATAATAGGCAGTATTTAAAATATCCGTGTTTTATCTACCATATATCACTTTATCAATTCACGCTTTTTTCCAGTACTTTAAATCTTTAAAATTTACAATAGAGTTTCATAACTAAAACCATTGCGCACCCAATGAACGTGATAACGCGTCTATAATAGTGCGGAATAAGTTGATTAAAAATTATTAGTAGTAAACTGTACATTCAGTGAATAAAATAAATGAAAGATTGCCTTTTATCAATCCAAGCTAATTATAATTTTCTAACAATAATTTCCTCTTCCACATCCGCACAATTTGCATTCTCATTTTTCTAATTATATTATTGCAACACTAATTCCTTCTACAACGTCCGAAGATTTGCATTCACACTTGTTTTTTATTATCGTGAGTTGTTTTATTTTTAAATTAGCTCCCTTGTCAAAATTAGAAAATAGAGTTAAATTAATTTGATTTTTCTACCCTACTGTTATTATGTTATTAAAATGTATCCACTTTTTTCTTCGAATATAAACGAAAATGATATTTGACATTGATCCATTTAATACTTTTTAGCAATGTGCGTGTATTTAATATTTTCTTTACGTTATGGAAAACAGTAAAAACAGTGGCAATTATAAAATAGCTATATGTCGTTATATAAACAAACCCTACTCTAGCACTTATAATAAGACTGCGGTGCACTGAAAATAATTGCATGGTGCTATGTTTACTTTTATGGCTCCAAAATCTATAGTGATGACGGACTGACACACTACCTAGCCGCTTATATTATAGATTTGAGAAAGATTAGGGGAGATCACTCCCGGTTTATTTATTTCGTTCTAAACGTATGTTTATTTCATTCTAAACCTATGTTTTATCAAGGCACACGAGTGCATTTACCAGAAATGTTCGATTCAATATCAAATGCTTTCATTCTTCCAAGTTAAAATTCCTGACGAGATTGATTCCTCATAACATAAAATTTTATCACCGCACGGTGTCTAAAGTAGGACTGAAATGCCATATCTAAACCACTAGTGGTGTAGCCTACAGTCCATCATATCTAATTTATCTAACCATTTTTCTCCAGATCAATAGTACATTTTACAATGCACGCACAGATTTACTGTTATACCACAAAATATACACCTGCTGCAATAGAAATGAAAACATTTCTTGCGTAATAAAGTAATATATTTGATTGATTTCGCCTAATAATGTTTTATACGCTCCTTTTACAATATATATATATATATATATATATATATATATATATATATATATATATATATATATATATATATATATATATATATATATATATATATATATATGCACATATTTTATTTTAATACTTGGCACATATTACGGTGAACGGAAAAAAAGTCGGAAAAGAACAATTTTATTCGAAAAAAAAGTCACAGAAATAAAGCCACAGAAAAAAGTCACAAAAATATTCTAAGAAATATTTTAATTTAATTGTTCATGATTGTAAAATTGTGGGTGTTTATTAATGTGCTTGGTAAAATAATGTAAGATAATGTACACACAACGCCACCATCTGTTAGGTATTTAGTGAAATACATGGTGAAGAATTGGCCGGCTTCTCCTCCGTCGGCTTTGTCCGTTCATATTGTGTGTTGTTGATGTTTTGCGTAAATGACAGCCTTTGTACCGTGTCGGCTTTCTGTTTTGATCCTATGCTTTGTTAGGTAATGAGCGTGATAAAGGTGGTTGAACCATTGTTAGTAGTATATTAAGTCCCTTTTGGGTATCATGGGTGAGGTGGATGCGGATGCGGATGAGGAGCAAAGGATATATAGGAAAATACTCACCCGCCTGGGTGCGCCACAGGGACAATGACATATAGTAAAATACTCACCCACCTGGGTGAAAGAGTGAGCCGCAGGGACAATGACATATAGTAAAATACTCCCCCACCTGGGTGAAGGTGGGTGAGGCGGAGGAACAGCAGGGTCAACGACATATAGTAAAATACTCACCCACCTGGTGGTGGTGGTGGTGGTGGCGCAGGCGCAGGGGGATGCGGATGCGGAGTAGATCAGTAGGTCAGTTGGTCAGCTGAGGGTGTGACCTTGTGACGTAATCACTACCGGTGACCTAGTTACGTAATTTGTTTTTAATTAGTTTGTAATGAGTTTTTAATTAATTTTTAATTAGTTTGAATTTTTTATTTATTTTGTTTTTAATTAATTTGATTTAAATTAGTTTGAATTTTTAATTTAAATTTGATTTTTAATTTTGTAATTTGTATAGACTAGTTACGTAATTTAATTATTTGTTTGATTTTAATTATTTTGTTTTTTAAATTTTAATTTTTAAATTTTTGAATTAGTTTTTAATTTTTAATTTTAATTTAATTACTTTGTTTATATTTTGTTTGTTTATTTTTTAATTAGTTTAATTATTATTTTTTAATTTTAATTTTTTAAATTAGTTAATTTTTAATTAGTTTGAATTTTTTAATTATTATTTTTTTAATTTTTTTAATTTTTAAAAATTTTTAATTTTAATTTGTTGCTAAGCCGAAAAGTCTCGAGTTCGAACCCTCGGGCAGATAAGGCTAGTTAGCTGGGGACAGCATCTCTTCTAGGAGAGAAAACTCCAAAATTAAAAAACTGCTGCCTTGTAGTTTGTTCTTGGTTGGACAAAGGCTATGGGAGCAAATCCAAAAAGAAAAGCAGGCTGAAATCGGAGTCAATGGCCTCAGTGGCGCAAAACCAGTTGACACGTAACGCTTAGTTCAAACCCACTGGCAGATAAATCTCGATCCCTTTCAACACTAATAATTAAGAACAAAGAAGAAGAAGAAGAAATTTGTTTATTTGTTTATTTGTTCTTTATTTGTTGTTTATTTGATTGTATGTTTTTTAATTTTTAATTTTGAAATTCTCCACAACAACGAATGTGTTCGAAAATTGAAAGTTCTTTCTATCGACTTCCAACAACCATTAACGACATCTGCTAGTCATTAACTCAAACTTCAAAAAATGTTCCCCCACCAGCGAAGTATTCCGTGGTTCCCTAGTAGATAGGTACCGCCCGGAGATTAATGGCTTTTCTCGTTCGGTTTGACTTTGTTTATAGCCGACAGGTGAGTTCACACGGTGCATTGGAACGTGAGCGCGTCTCTGGAATTTCGGCTTGGAGTTTTTTTATGGATCATAAAAAAAAGCAATCACTTTTTTATAGCCGTAGAATGACTTTGTGGGGTAAACCAAGGGCTTCTCCGCGAAGCATTTGCGTTTACTTGAGTACCAGCTGGCCAGCATGAGACAGGCTGGCGCCACACTTAACGGATGCTCTAGGGCTTTTTTCATTACCTTGTTTTTAGGTTTTCTGGTACTACTAGTCTACACATTTTTGAGATACACGTATTCACATTCACACGCACACTAAAATTGGAAAAAAGTCTTCTTATATTTTATTTATTTATTAACGTTTTTCCAAGTCATCAAATGCTTTTAAAATATCATGCTGTAAACTTAACAAGCGTTCAATACATACTCGATTGTAGTAACATGGGTGTTGAGGGTGAGCAGGTGCGCCACCACCAACACCCCCACCAGGTGGGGGAGTATTTTACTATATCTCGTTGTCCCTGCGGCTCACCCACCCTCACCCACCTGCTCACCCAGGTATGTGAGTATTTTACTATATGTCATTGTCCCTGCGGCTCACCCAGGCGGGTGAGTATTTTCCTATATACCCTTTGCTGCGCATCCGCATCCAAATCCGCATCCGTCTCACCCATGATACCCAAAAGGGACTTAATATACTACTATTTTTTGCGTGAGTTGAGGGCAGCAAGTCACATATTAACTACGTCTTTATGCCATTTCATGCTAATTTAAAGTTAGGATTTAACAAACACGATTGAAACCGAGAAGGATTGAACATTATATTAAACTAGGCATGCTGCCCAGCTTCGCTTAGGCTTTCGAAAACATTGAGATTTTGAATGCTTCATTAATTCGCCCGAGGGTCGGTCTACGACCTCAGGAGTTATGAAGAGGTTCCTACGTGGACATTTTTGTTCGATTTATAGCTCATATAAGGCGCCGGTCAGTCGAGGTCAGTTTTGACCCCCTCATCATAGACTTTTCGGCCAACCGGCCCCCGTGTTCTGTCGCCCCAAGGCAAGATCCTGCCAAATTTGAAGCGCCTGCGGCACCGGGAAGTGCCCTATCGGGCCCCAGACAACTTTGCTTTATATATTATAGAGATTAGCAAATTGCATAGATAAACAAAGATTTCAATAAAGTTATTAAGGCCTGAAATACTTTAGTATATAAATGTATTATTTGAATAGATTCTAGATCTAGGTATGGTCTACATCTGTGTAAGTCTAGTTTTTCAGTAGATCTAGATCATCTAGATCTAGATCTAGAAGCTCTAGATCTAGATGATCTAGAATCTCTAGATCTAGATGATCTAGTATATCTAGATCAAGAATATCTAGATTTAGAATCCTAATAGAATTTTTTTAAAAAGTTTAGCCCGAGCAAAATTGTATTGTGTAAATTTCATAGCGTACGTAGATCTAAATAATATTTGAATGAAATAGTTCATTTCTTTTTATTCTAAACACGGCAGATGACGTCATTAGTAAATGTATAAACATTATTCACGTAACTGTTTTGTGCATTCTTTTTCACAACTATAAACGCTTTTCCGGTTGCATAATTAAAATTGTTCTTCTACATTCGAATACGCCTTTATATTTTATTTTTCTTCTTTAAATAAAATTGTGGTTATACATTTAAAACATCTAACATATTATTTTAAACAAAAGTCTGTATCAAGTTCTCGATATATCGCTGCCGATTCTGGTGTGATATCCGGCGAAAATATTTTGCGGATAGAGAGAGAGAAGTGCGCACATGGGCTATTATATATTAGGATTCAATTAAATTTTATGTGTAAAACAGAATGACAATTAATAAAAATTAATAAAATCTTTTACGTGTATTATAAATATTACTATATGTATACAAACCACGCATATATATCTAAAATGATTACACAACATTTAATTAATCGTAAGTTGATTAGCATAATACATACACAATTGTCATGCCAAAAAACACTCAAGATTTTTTCCTGTGACTTTTTTCCTGTGACTTTTTGTACTTGTTACTTTTTTCCTTTGACTTTTTTTTCCTACAATCCATTTTACAGGAACTTTTAAAGTAACCGTGATTGCTGTAGCTGTCACAGTAACAATACTCGTGATGCTAGCCGGGTTTTATTGGTACGTTTAGAGTTTATTTATTTGCAAAGCTGGTTTTAAAAATGTCTTTTGTTAGCTACTTGAAGATAATTTCATAAAAATTTCATCCCACCAAAAATATCTGTATAGGCCTATATATATATATATATATATATATATATATATATATATATATATATATATATATATATATATATATATATATATATATATATATATATATATATATATATTACTATACACCCCCACCCCAAACGTTGATTGACTTGTCAGCTATTACAATTCTCAAGAAAACCATTTTTCAGGCAAAATTTGCATTGTTTGGTTTGTTTCACCCCCCCCCCCCCCTCGCCTCCACCCGGTGATACATTTAAACTGTGTACACATAATTCTAACGATGTTCATCTATAGCCTAGTCGGTTATAAATACAGCTGGATGTAGTATAGTTTTCTATATCGTTCGCTGGTTTACGTCATAGTGTACGTTTTGACCATAGTCTATAAGAATATCGTCTATCTAGTTGTTGCAAGAAAGGCCTACGTTTGGGACGAGCAGATCCTTCAGACAGCCCTTCCAATGCAACGGAGAGAAGTGTTCAAAGAATGGGAAACGCTACTGTTTGAACCAGCAGAATACAGGTTAGTCTATTCATGTTTGGTGTGGTGTTTTGAGATATTTTACTGACAAAATGCATTTATTATCCTGATTATTTTTTGCTTTTACTTTTTTATAAATAAGAATTTAAACATAATTTAAATCTTTATGCATTAAGGAAAAAAAATATTTTATTGAATATTTTACTAGGTTTTAACTTTCATTTGATAAAACTGTTTAACTAAGGTTTTCTCCACACATACTCGAAAGTGAATACTTTCAAAAATCAGAGCTGATATACTTTTAACTTTTCATGTAAAATTTTACAAACACTGACGAGATTCATTTGTTCATAAAACCATTGTGTCCTTTTTATTTTCTCGTATATACGACTTTTTACACCTCGCTGAGTTGGACAAACATAGTTTTGCAATCTTGTCCGTATGTCTTTGTGTATGTGTGTGTGTGTGTGTGTATGTGTGTGTGTGTGTGTGTCTGTATACATGATAACTTGAGTATCGTTATATATATTTAATATATCAAATTTATAGATCCGTATTAACTTTTGAGCGATTTCCGACTAAACGTTTTTCTACTTTCAATTTTCCAAAAGCCTATAACATGTAAGTCAAAGATCTAATTCTCTGCATTTTTTAAATTTTGAGTAATTTCCGTTGAAGTAGTTATTTAGACTATTTCCGATTTATCAGAAAACGCATGTGAATTTATAAAGTACTAATAATATTATTATATTATACACATTTTATTTGGCGTTCACTTGGTGTGCAATTCTTTTTTTCTACGAGATTCTATTCCATTTTTAAAAGTTTAAGTAATTAAAAATGGATTTAAAATATTGTCTATATCCCGAGTTGCCATCTCCCGTAGTGTTATATAATATATTCGAGAAAATTTAGGGGAGATCACTCCCTGTCTATTTAGATAATTTTACAATTAAACTTATTTAATTGGTAGAAAACATGTGGTGCATAAATCTTTTAAATATATTAATGAAATAATTTTTTTGCTATGAAGACAATAAATAATAATACAAATTTGGATACTTTATAAAACGATGAATTCTTTTTTTTTAAACTTGCAAACACAAACACTTTTATCAAAAACACATTTATTAAAATAATAAACCCAAAAATATAAGTTTGTTACCTGCAGTCATATTAATTTTTATTGACAAATCATATTCAATATCATTGCATTAACCCATATTCTGCTAGTGTTCCGCTTATGGGAGGTTGTAAAAAAAAATTGCTAAATTTTTTTAAAAACTAGTTTTACACAAATTATGTTTTATTGTATTTGAAAATGGTTAGACTATTGAATTTGTATGTATTTTTGTGGGAAAAAAATAATTTAGAAAAATGTTATAGGGCCGGCTTCGCAGGACTTGTCAAAATGGTGGAAAAAAAGAAAACATGCGCATAGGAAAATGCATATCTTCTAAAGTATTAACATTTTAAGTGCAAAATACATTTAAAACTTGTAGCAGTACCATATTTCTATCTGATGAAAATTTAAGAGTAGCAATTTTTTAAACAATTCGTTATATCAAGTGTACAACAAGCGTCCCATAAGTGGGACGCTAGCAACGAAAGGCCCCCATGTAGATTGTTACACAAACGTCACATTTATTGGACTCTAGCGAGAAACACAGATGCAAATGTTTATGTTAAATGGTTATTTATGATGAAACAATTGTTGACTTTGTTAAATGTTGATTTTGGGATGTTAAGTAGTATTTATAGATATTTAATTATGACCTTGACCTATATTTACTTATATATTATTGTATAAAAAATTGAAAATATTGAAAAACTTACTTTTTTAAGTTTTCAGAATTGCACTAACTGAAGTATTTAATACCATTGAATATAAACTAATTTAGTATTGAGGTAAATTTACTAGTGCGTGATATTAAAATTATAACAAACCAGAATAATAACAATGGTCAACATTTAGGTGAAACGATTCAGTCATGGGGGTTGGTTAACACTCTTCATATAAGAGAGCTCAAGCTACATATAGCAGAAATGTGAATTAGCTGTGTACTGTTGTCCCCTCCAAAGGTTCCCGATACCAATTTTACTTTGATAACTTTAACGAAGCTTTGTAAGGTGAGGGGATTACTGGTGCTAGATTGGAAGCTGTTCGCATAGTGAGGTGCATACATGGATGAGAGCCATGAACACTCAATACAGGCCCCCAGTGACGGATCCGTTCCTTAGAAATACGATGTCTGATGTTCTAATGTACGCCTGTGAGGGGAGGGGGGGAATAGAGAAGGTAACAAAAAGGAAGTTGGCTTGATGACATCTGGGACCGGACCTGATCGTCGTTTGCAAATTCACTGAGGGCGGAGTTTCATTCAGGCATCATTTCGGAGGACTGGGGGGGGGGGGGGGGCTCTGCCCACAGAACAAAATGAAATTTTTATAGAAAACATACTTTTATGAGTGACCACCTTCGCCCGGAAATTTAAGACGCCCCCCCCCCCCCCCCCCCCAGCCCTCTTGAAAATTACAAGTACGCCCCCCAAAAACTCAATTATTTATATTTAATTATATTACATTTTCGATGAATCATGTGTACATATTTATATGTACCAGTCACAGCTTTACGTATTTCCAAGTGTTATTCACTTTGATGGATGCTAGATTGAAAGAAAACTAGACATTTCAACATAATTTCTGCATTTTAGACCATGGTATGGTGGTTAACCCAATTGAACATAATCAGTATTTTTAGCAGCTGTCTTAAACAATGAAATAATTGACCTAACAGTACAAAATCAGTATATAGCTTAATTGTCGCGAGATTAGCCATAGTTCGTGATACACGATTTTTTTCCCAATAAATGTACATGGGGCCATTCGTTGCTAGCGTCCCATTTATGGGACGTTTTTTAAAAAATCGATATTCCAAAAAGTATTGATTTAAAAAAAAATCTATAGTCATTCCTTCATTCAGTGCCCAAAAGCTAAACCATATAAAAAATTATAAAAATTTGAGACCTTGGGATAATATGGGTTAAGAATTCACTATACGTATCTTGCCAGAGCTACATTGGTAAACAGATATATCATTCCAAAAATTATCGTAGCGAAGAACTCTACAATACCCAACTCATTTATTAACAAACAAGCACACGAGAGAGTTCATTTTCAAAAACACGATTAGAAACATTAGCCACAAAACCTTAATAGAAAACAAATTAAATTGCGGTATACGGCTGCACGAAATTCATACTAAAACAAAAATGACATAGGCAGCTTTTATAAAGAAACGCTAGCAACATTCCAAGGAAACAAAAGCATTATTGGGGAAGACACAAAAAATATACGGTATCCTAATCATACAACAAGCGACACCCTTATACACCAGAATTAGTTGGGCCAGGGAACACTATAACATAGACATTCAAGATACATTTAGAAACCTACATAGTAAACGCATGATGTTGAGTTAATTTGCTGGTATTTATGACGGAACCTCCTACCTAAGATTTCTCCTAGGTGGGTGTCGTCAAGCTGAAAAAAATAGAAAATTGAAAATTAGCCAATCTTACATTTGGAAGCCAGCCAATACAAGTACTGGGTGTCCATGTCGAGGGCATGGTGCACTTCGAGGGATGTGGGGCGCATCCCCACTGCGATCGATGGCGTGATTTGCAACTGATTGCTTGATGAGTTGAGTAGTAGATCTGACCGCCTCCCGACCCCGGCAGCTAGCCCTAAAAAGGGCTGACAAACCAAATGACTAAGATTTATGTAGAATACAGAACAGATACTACACTTTTATCTTAGCCAAAAGGCTGAGAAGCGATGGGGACGGTGTGGTCTAGCGGTAGAGAGCTAGACTGCTAACCCGAAGCAGCTTTGCTCTGCTTCATCTGTCCCATATGTCTTGGACACGATATAAGCATTATACTGCTAAACATAAATGATACTAGATGCAAATACTATATCTAGAACAGACACATATCTAGACACTTGTCTAGTATTAAGTACAGCATTAGCGAAGTTTTAAACGAGTCTAGATAGCTAAATTGTAATAGGCTTCCATGCGGGTGGCGCGGGCTCTAGACACATCATATCAGTGTTAAAAAACAAAATTTCAATTCTGTATGTTTGTTTGTAAAATGTTTGTAAATCGAGGATTACTTAGATTAGAATTTATTAGAATTATTAGACCCCATTCTTATATGTTAAGCGTTTAAAGTGTTTATCGTCTAAAATTATATTTTAAAAAAAATAATATTGAAGATGTTTTAAAAGATGTTTTATTTAAAACAATACATCTGGAGGAAAAAATGTACCTTTTATTACTTTGTTTCGGTGTCGGGGAAAAAAATATATAATTAGCGTAGATTGATCAAGTGCAATGTTGTTGGTATTTTAAATACTGCCTTTTATTTATTCCATACACTGAACGTACTGTTTTCTTATTATTATTTTTAATCAAACACAGTTGAAGTAACAAAAGACATCTTTATTTGGGAACGGGAATTCCCGCAGGTTATTATTTGTGTCTTTTTTTGCGCATTCGTTATGTCTGACCCTTTTTGCCCACGAAGAGGAATTCTTTTTTGTCGGTCCCACCAAACATGCTGAACTTTGCCTTTTTTTACGTCACCATGGTGCGTACCTTTTTTTTAAGCAGACGTTTTTAACAGTACATTGTATAAAGGTTTACTACCGAAAAACAATAGGATAAGAAAGGTTACTATAGTCTTTAAGTGAATCAAATCCGGGCGTCCTTCGGCGCCCAGACAGGGTACTATTTCGCGCCCCGGGCTTTCCCGTGTTCATTTTGGCGCCTACGTTCGTTAAATTGAGTGCAAAATAATATGAATAAGTTGGGGTACTATAGTCGTGGTCCTCTACAGATAGGGACGGCTAGTTACTGTATATGCAATTGATGTTACTGTCTTTTTTAGCTGTGGTTTTGAAAGGTAAGAATGTTTTATTTGATGTGTCTCATTGTATTAACATAACTTTCCTGATTGCTTAAAATTTATATCATTTTCATTATCTGTAATCCCAAATTTATTTCAGCTCTAGTTAAAACCCCAAATTTCCTTCCCCCCTTAGCCCACCACGCCGATGGAAAAAAATCCCTTGAATCATCATTTAATTACATATTTGCATTTTCAGTTTTTTTTTATTTTTATTTAGACGTTTTGTATTAGATCTATGTATAAGTAAACCATCTTAAATGAATGAAAGTAGGCTACAAGTAAGAAAGAAATATTACTATTGTAAATTTGTATCAGTCCTCACAAGCCGTAATGAAAACTGTAATATTAAAGCGAACATGTACGGGAAACTGACGCTGTAAATTACATGTCTGAGGCGGAAGAAAAAATATTAACTATTCACTATACTTTTTTAGTTAAATCTAAAATGATTGCTTCACGAAGCATTAAAAGTTAAATACTGTTATTATACTGTATTGGATTTTAAATATATTTGATATTAAATGCAAACAATGAAAACAACAATTTTTTTATAAAATAATTAAAATATCGATGTTAAAGCATATTGTTAATATATTTACAGCTTTATTGCATCTACTTCTTGGATGAGAGTAGCCGTAGGAGAAACTAACGGACCAAAGTTAATAAAAAAAACTAACAGCGATTATCCCCCCCGCGAGACATTATTTCTTCAATTGGGAAATACTGAAGAATGTGAGAAAAAAGAGCCAAGAGAGTTATCCACTTCTAACGCTCTACTTAAGAAAAAATTTTAAACAATTAATACAAACATTGCAAAATCTTCAGGAAAATTATAAATCATCACCTCATTTTTAAAAAAAAATTATTCAGGGGATACTATCATTAAAGAAAAAAATTAAGCATATTTTTGAATTAGTACAACTTCTAGTATTGGCTTGCAATAAAAATGATTATAATAAAAATGACATTGTTATTGTTGTATCATAAATCAAATCATCGGCATCAATGGATGGAAAGTCTGATTTAAAAACCTTGATAATAGATTGTGTCAAGCTAAAATGATTTTAATTTGGATTGTTTTCAAACATTGCAAGTCCGCTGTTTCCCTCGGAGCTTTGCAAACAAATGGTTATAGAAAGTAGGACAGCAAACACAGCGCTCATCTGAACAAGGGTTGATTCTGTAAACAATAGAGCAACAAACATGACGATAATATAATTGGATTGTTGCTTTTAACTTTCGATATATATATACATAGTATAGAGAAAGTATTGTAATCATGCAAGAAAAAAAAATGGAGATTTTTGAAAATCTCGAAGTTTTACACCTCACTGAGTCAGAAAAAACATAATTTTGCAATCTTGTTCGTATGTCTGTGTGTGTGTATGTGTGTGTGTGTGTAAACACGATAACTTGAGTACCGTTTTAGCTAGGTTGATGAAATTTCATATATAAGTATTATATTAATATCGTAGATACCTACTAACGTTTGAGCGATTTCCGATAACCGGAAGTGGAATAATAAATTCCTAAGATTTACCTATTATAGATGCCTTTTCTTCTTTTTTTTCGTTCTTAATTTTAGGTTTGGCAGAGAATGGACGCCAATGAGAAAAGCCTCAAAGGTATTCTTTTTTTAATATGATGCAGCATTTTATTAAATAAAAAATATGTATGCACTTTGGCACGTGCAAACTCAAACATGCGCGAACACAACACACGCAAATAGCCATAATCCTCATTGGTGAGTGATCTTTGTTTAGTTGTCTGCGTGCTCAATTTTTTATTTGGGTGTTGTTTTTTTTGTGCGCATTTTTCAATCTGCGCATTTTTCTGTGTGTGCATTTTTCTGGTTGCGCATTTTCTCTTTGGGCATTTTTCTGTGTACGCAAATTTCTGTTTGCGCTTTTTTCTGTGTGTGCTTTTTTCCGTAGCGCATCTTTCTGAGAACCAGAAAGAACCTACAGCTAGGCAGAATAAAGCGGGAGTGATCTCCCCTCAACTCTCTCGTCAATTCTTATATCACTATAAGGTGATGGCACGTACAGTTCTATCGTACTATATAAATTTGTTTTGTATTAATTATTTTTATACTAACGTTTTCTTTTTAACGGAATAGAACCGAGACGAATTAATTAATTGTGCACCAAATTAACAACAGCAATGCGTCTACTAGATCGCTAAATTAGTACTTTATAAAGGAATCGTTGAATATGACTGTTTGAGAAATCACAAATAACATAAAGTACTACTTCCGTTCAACGAAAATCACTCAAAATTTGACAGCAAACAATTAAAACGATCATATACCTATGTAATTTTATAAAGTTTCTTACGGCTAACTGAAACTGTACCCAAGTTATCGGTATTTTAGAAATTAGGAAGAGGCAGTAACCACTTCCGGACGCCGGAGGTTACTTTGAAAGTGATTCAAGTAAGATCTTTTACCCAGCTCTGATGGGTGCATGGCTTGTGTTGGGAAATTAAGGCGGCTGTGCATAGCGCTGATCTCACTTTCTTTTTATATATGTCGAGGCAGGGGCGGAACTACAGTGCCGCCAGACCCCGCAATGCGGGGGGGCCCAGACCGATTGGGGGCCCAAAAATCCTGGCTAAATTATTTTAAAAAAATTAAAAAAAAAAAATTAGGTGGAGGTCGAGTTATCTTTCTTCTACAGTTACAAACAAACACGATAGTCGGCAAACGTCTTTGAGAAAAATGCACAGACTATAGCTCGAGAGACCGCCAGACATATAGACAACTTCAAAGACGTAGCCTACCGTTCTTTTTTAGTGGCGTCGATTAGGAGAACAAAAAAGCATTGTTATATTGTGTATATATATATATATATATATATATATATATATATATATATACATGTATGGGGGGCCCAAAATTTTTTTTTGCGGGGTGGCCCATTTTTTCTAGTTCCGCCACTGTGTCGAGGTCAAGAAACATACGGTAGGTCTAAATAGAAAGCTGTATTTTTAACCAAACAGGGACAAGCATAGCTTTTCTTGTATATTTTGCAATTATTCGTTCGGTTCAAATTCGCCTTCACGTTTTGACGCACCAAATCATACATAAGCTAAACCAAGTTTAGTAAATACTCCAGAATCAACAAAATAATACCTGCTTGCATTCGATGGTGTCCTGCAGTTGACGGCTGTGGACTTAGAGGATTCCAGTTTTCTGTTAAGACAAACAATTTTTAAGGCTTGTTTGATTGTTATTCATTTAATATCTAAACAACGTATTAAGTGATGACCTACACAAAAGCATTTACTATATGTGACATTGAGTTGAATTGGGCGAAATAATTAATTGAATAGATGTTTCTCGTATATACGAAGTATAGAGAAAGTCTTGTAATCGTGAAAAAAAAATCGAGATTTTTACAAATCTCGACGTTTTACACCTCACTGATACGGAAAAACATAATTTTGCAATCTTGTCCGTATGTCTGTGTGTGTGTGTCTGTCTGTCTGTCTGTGTGTAAACACGATAACTTGAGTACCATTACAGCTAGGTTGATGAAATTTCAAATATAAGTATTTTATCAAAATCGTATATCCTGATCAACTTTTGAGCGATTTCCGTTAACCGGAAATGGTACTTTTACTACTTTGAGTTTTTCAAAAGCTTATAACTTGCGTACTATTTCAGATAGATAAATGAAATTTCACATGTAAGTAAAAGGTAATTCTCTACCTTCTGTCAAATTTTGAGTAATTTCCGTTGACCGGAAGTACCAATTTACGCTATTTCCGATTTCTCAAAAAACGCATGTAAATTTATAAAGTACTACTAATATCCCGCACTTTTATGCACATTTTGTTAGGCGTTCACTTGGTGTGCAATTCTTTTTTTTACGGGATTCTATTCTATTATAAAAAGTTTAAGTAATTTAAAATGGATTACAAATATTGTCTATGTCCTGAGTTGCTATCCCTCGTAGATTTATATTAGAATATTCGAGAAAGTTTAGGGGAGATAACTCCCGGTTTATTTACTTCTGTTGTCGGATTTCATAAATAAGTATTATATTGAAAAGTTGAGGGAAAACCACAAGTATAATATCGAACTTGTACTTTTCCATCAACTATTGAGCTGTTTCCGGCTCCTTTTTACTTTCTCGTATATACGAAGTATAGAGAAAGTATTGTAATCGTGCAAAAAGAAAATAGAGATTTTTTTAGGTGGACGGGATTATATATATACATACAGGATTTTATTTACTGGTTTCTGTAAAATGTTACGTGATTTTCAATGACTGTAAGCAGTAGTTTACGCAGTTTCCGATTTCTCAAAAATATATTATTTAACTTGATTCAACTGTCTATCGTCAGTTATTTATAAAACGCGCGAGCAAAATTGTGACGAATAATACGGATCGATTTACTTCAAACTTTTCACGTAGTTAAGACTCGATATAAATTCACTGTAACAAGAATAATATTTAATTTGATTTTGAAATAATTGTTTTTTAAAAATAAAAAACATTCCTATAGCCCGATTACACTGAAAGTGCCCTCCCCATTACTGTTAAATAAGAATATATTTGACATTTTAAGAGAGATCAATACCGCTTTATTTGAGAAATAACTTACCTGGTTCAATTTGACGGTTAAAGGTGTTGCTCTGTGCGATGAATGTATTATTACCGTATAGAAATATTAATCGAAACCATCTCGAATGCATACTTCTCATCCGATTAAGTGCAAACCGGTATGGTGGTCCTTTATAACATGAGCATCGATTTTCTAAAAAGCCTGTACTAGACGAAAAACAATGCTCTGCTCTTGGGCATACAGTCCACACGTTGCAGAACTGAAATAGCATTCATTAAAAATATTAATTTCGCACGCAATTTTGTAGGTCAGCCAAAAAAAAAGGTCTGTTTTTTTTCCGGAACAATATATTCCAATATAATTTTAAACTCTATTGTTTACGTTTTGGTCAACATTAATACACATGATTGTTAGGGTCTGAGGCAGGGTCAAGGGCAGAGTTAGGGTCACGGGTCACGGGTTACAGTCACGGTCATGGTCAGGGTCATGGTCAGGGTCATGGTCATGGTCATGGTCATGCTCATGGTCATGGGTAAGGTCATGGACGTTCTCAAACTAAGCTCGTATTTAGCGTCATTACAACTATGAGATTAATGCCAACTTACATCATACCACAAGTCTTCGTCTTCACATACTTTAAGATCTTTTTGATAGCACTGAAAAGCAGTTAAGTATACACAATGCTCTATTTTGACATGTGGTTGTGAACGTTTGAAAGGTGTCCAAAAGTATCCGTACATCCGACCAGTGTACTCGCAGTACGTGTTGACACAGTCACGTTCGTAGCCAATTATTAGCGCCCCGAATGATCCTTTTTGGCACTCACCATCTGTTGATATAAAAAATAATCTACTGGTATATCAAGACAAGTTTATTTTTGTTTTAGAAGTTTCTTCTTACAGATAGTTTAATAAGCATATTGAAAAATAAAACAGTGTTATCTTTACATACGAGCAATTTTTTTGCTTTGATTTACGAGGAAAGTTAGAGACACGAGTAACCAGATTCATGGGTTTTACAGTTCATGGCAAATAACACCCGACAAGCTTGCAACTTGCTAGGCAGCAATTTAGTTACTTAGTCTAACTCTTTTCAGCAATATTCTAAACAGAAGGAAGAAACAAACTACCGTAACAGATTTTTTTCTTCTTCTTTGTTTCTTAATTTCGTAATTTTAATTAAGTATAAGTTTCACTGGTATACTGGTTGTGCGCCATTAAGGCCATTAGCTCCGATTTCAGCCTGCTTTTTTTTTGGATTTGCTAACATAGCTTATTTCCAACCAAGAACAAACTATAAGGCAGAAATTGTTTTATTTTGGAGTTGTCTGTCCCCCAACTAACGAGCCTCATCTGCCCGAGGGTTTGAACTCGAGACTTTTCGGTTTAGCAACCATGAGCTTAACCGACTCGCCACACCTCAGATTTTTTAAACTCCTACATATGAAAATGAGTAAAGCGTGCGAAAAAGCCAAAGGCTAGTAAAGAGAAAACCAGTCATGAAAATTGCATTATCTTTTAATTTATTTTGTATCCACAATTTGTGATTGATTGTCACCCCATATATCTTTGGTTTAAACACATCGGTTGTTCATGAATACATGACACTGGACTCTAGTTTGTGTAACTTGATAACTTTATTTACATGAGAAGAATATCTATAGATGAACAGAGTATCTCCATCACATACGCATACACATAAAGTATATCAGGACCAAGTGTGGTCAAGTGTTAAAGTTCAAAATACATTTGAGGACACGATTAAAATTCACACGGTTCTCGGACATAATCACGTCCTGCAGTCTTCTTTGATATTGTGGCCACTGACCACCTTAATTTACACAGCTTGTAAAGCCTACATTCACTCACTCCAGTCAGTGAACGATATAAAAAAAAAGAATGAAATGCAATGATTTCGCTCACGCATTCACTACCTTTGGCCAGGTATTCGGCTGTCATACATAATTCACAACAATACAGCCTGTTACATTTATGAACGCATATTTCTTATTTAAAATACGTAACAAAAACAGCTGTGATAGCAATAATGGGGTATGCTGGAACGGTTTCATGATACTTCATATAATTTCAAGGGAAAAGACTGCTTTGATATACGAACAATTTGACATACGAGCAATGTTACGTAACGAATTAAACTCGTATCTCGAGGTACCACTGTATTATCTGTAAATAAATTTACAGTACTCATCATATAAAGGAGTGTAGACTAGTATGTAAAAGACACGGTAATTAATCAAGGAGAAATCGCACATACTTCAGCAAGAAAAGACTTACGAAAATTCCTGTAATAAAACGACTCACAAAGTAGAAAGATCAAATAGGGCTTAAGAAAATTCCTGTAATAAAGAGACTCACAAGGTAGAAAGATCAAACAAATCAACAACAGCAGCTTCATTTCCTGGTACTTGGATGCTTCATTAAGCTTTTAGTTCCTGTAGCCTGACATCAGTACGTCATATATACAGTTGGGGGGTGGGGACTACAGAGCGGTCACTATCTAGGTGAGAGTGACGTCATTTGATGAGGACGAAAGTTTAAGGCTGATGAACAAGTGCAAAAAGGTTGGGTTAACGTACCTAGATCTAGTAGCTTCACTGAACGAATAACATAGCCGGAAATTCAAGCGACATCTTTTGATTTGATGTATTTATGGACACAGATCGAGCAACTTAACATACTTTGTTCATATGGACACAACTTAACATACTTTGTTCATACTGACACCGATCAACTTAACATACTTTGTTTATTCAGACACAACTTAACATACTTTGTTCATACGGACACAACTTAACATACTTTGTTCATATGGACACAACTTAACATACTTTGTTCATACGGACACAACTTAACATACTTTGTTCATATGGACACAACTTAACATACTTTGTTCATACGGACACAACTTAACATACTTTGTTCATACGGACACAACATACTTTGTCCATAGCATAGATCTAGATTTCTACATGTGAACGAAATAAATGTGTTTATCTATTTCTAGATCTATGTCTAGTCAATGCTGATGCTCATATTAATGCCATAGTTTTAAATCTAGTTATACTGAAAGTAGTGGACACAGAAATTTAAATAAAATTGTTCGTATAAGAATGTCAACATAAACTACCTGTTTCCGTATAGCTGTGTATAGAAAAAACAGTGTGTTGAAGAACGCCTCAAACCTTTCTCGAAATGAAATCGCAAGGTTCTGAAATCTAGATTCTACAATTTTGTTGGGTGTTAAATATTTCGGGAATTCTCATTAGCAAGTTGGCGCGCACGTTTAGCTTTGTATATTGTAAACAATAGGTCCCAATACATTAGAGAGCTCAGCTGTTATGGGATAAAGTCTCACATACTGTAAACAGTAGGTCCAATACTTTAGAGATCTCAGCTGTTATGGAATAAAGTCTCACATATTGTAAACAGTAGTACCGAGCACATTAACAACTCTTCATTAACACGATACATGACCGTGAACTAGGATGCTGAGAGACGGCGCATTAGTAGAGATAAAGACCACCAAACAATCATCTTAAGACCTAGATATCCATAGGATAGAATAAGCAAAGTTCATATGTTTATTGACCTAGCTAAATGAAGTGAAGTGTGGTCAGCATTTTGCCCAGCAGCATTTACTTTCCCCAACGTGAGGTGAATACCAATCAGAGCTGGGTGGACTCAGGGACGTTCTATTGACTTGGACCCGGATTCGAACTCGAGACTTAAGGGTTACCAGTCTAGCGTTTTGTCGCTTCTGCCTTGCTGATGGTGCATAAGGTGGTAACATGAAGCATAAACAAAAATTATTTTTAACAAACCAAACGGTGTATTCGTTCTACAAGTTTCAGCTATTGGCCTATTCTACAAAATAGAAATGTTAGGTAGACTTTAGAAAGATATTATTTAAAAGCTTACATCGACCAAAACAATTAATTTTTTCTTTATATGATTAACAAATCGTTTCAGCTTTTTTCTTTTAAATTAAAGTCTCAAGACTAATTTGTCTTTAACATGTAGATGGCATTAATAAATGAACTTCTTGTTTCAAACGATACAAACGATTCTCACAAACACAACACAAACTCAAGACAACACAACCACAACACAACACAAACACTACACAAACACAACACAAACACAACCACAATGTGAGGGTGGCTGAATCCCAAAGAAAGCACAACACGAATGAGGCTATTACAGTATTCTTTATTTCTCTATCTCCCGTCCTCCAGTCCCAAAATCCACCTCCTTGCTTTGACACTCAACCTTCAACTCCCGTTCGCATTCATCCCTACACACCACCTTTCTCTCGCTCACAACACAGCCACTGTCACCCGATCAGTCGCTTCCCTTGTACCCTCGTTCACTCCGTACAACATACACCTCAACACACCCGGCCTCGCGTCTCACTACATGCTACATACACACACGCAGTGACCCGTTCCACGTATTCACCTTTCATACACATTACATCACCACACACAACACAACATCATTCAGCTTCTCAGATACAATACAAACAATTTCGTACTCTTAAACAAGATCGTTGTTTACAACAGTGACAACAGACAAAAATCAAATCTTACCTACCACACACACCGTATCTACATTCCCCACAAATGGCATAACGACAGACACAAATATAATCTCTTTTTTATCAATCTCCTTAACTTCTCCTTTTAATGTCAATCAAATTTTAATATTTTAGGTTAGTTTTTGAAAATTCCTTGTAAAAGTCTTTGTTTAGCTACATTTGTGTGTGTGTTTGTATGTGTGTGTGCGTGCGTGCGTGTATATGTGCGTGCGTGCGTGTGCTTGAATGTATTCTTAGGGAAAATGTATTTTCCCACGTTTTCTTTAACTTGCTGTCGCGTCTTTCCAATCAAATCTTGCGATCGAAATTTCGGGCACTTCCCAGTTAGCTAGCGCGCTGAATTTTCAGGGAAGCTTTGTTTCCGATGACAATAGAATATTCAATTGTTATTATTACTAAATTGATCCATGGAAACATTTTATTGATCATTTTAGACCGCTATATAATTGTTAAAAAAAAAGTGGGGAAAAAGGGACATAACCCAGTAATTGTAATTTGATGAAAACAAGGTTCGGTACTCTCCCTCTTTTTGCTTTCTGAGTAGTTGTCACGCGGTGTTTGTGTACAAACAACCAGAACGTAACAACTGGTGGCTAGTATGGGGGAGAAGATATGGTCGAGTGGTTGGGCACACGATTGCTAACCCCACTCGACACGGGTTCAAGGCACGTTTTTTTTACGAGTTGTCTTCGTTTACCCAAAAATAAAAGTGAATGCGAGAAGATAAAATCGATAGCAAGATTTTAAAGCAAACAAACAGACAAAGACTAAAAAGTAGAAAATAAAAAAAAGTTTAAAAAACCCACGTTTCCTGATTGAACTAAAAAGTAGAAAATATATGCTATACATCACAATAATGCAATTATTTATTCATGTCAGTATATAGCTTTAGTAAGGTTTCATCATACTAAACTTATTTTTTATTTTATTTTTGTGCATTTTCGCAATCGTGAATTTTACTTTCCCGTATATAGAGTATAGATGACATTTTTCATCGCTATATACCTTAATAATTTATCACATATTAGTATAGGGGAATAATTTTAGTCAGCAAAAATAATAATTAGAGATTTATCAAAATTCCGGCGTTTTATACGTAATTGAACTGGAAAACTGGGTTTAGCAATTCTGTCCGTGTATTTGTGTGTGTGTGTGTGTGTGTTTGTGTGTGTGTCTGTGAACACGATAACTAGAGGACCGTTACAGATAGGTTGATGAATGTTGAAATTTAAGTATTATATCAAATTTGTAGTTATGTATCAACTTTTCAGCGATTTCCTATTACCAGAAGTGGAAATTATTCTACTTTCAATTGTTCAAATTATTTTCTATAATTATTGTAACTATATAGAAATTTAAAATATTATTAGACATAGATGTCAAATAATTTCAACATTTGATCTCAATGTATGTTTTATTTACTTCTAAAAGTAATTTTATTACGGTCTACACGTATTTGTATAGTTTTGAATGAATGTCTGATTTTGTAACTGGCGTGCACGTACACGTATATGAGAACCGCAAGGGATGTTTGACTAAGCTTTAAACGCTTCCGATTTTACACTGTAAATTAGTCTAACGACATCCATGCTGAAGACATTTCAGTGGAAGTTTAGAGCCACTCAGTAACTGCAGTAGAATAGAAACTTCCAAGTTTCGTCTAGATCAGTAGTCAATTTTACAATCAATGCTAAAAGGTCTATTGTATGTAGCAAAAACTACAAAGACGATTTTAAGAAATATACAGACTTCTTACTTAATAAGATTTGACCATGGTCACAATGTTTTCCAGACTCACCCCATCCTACAAGAATATATATATATATATATATATATATATATATATATATATATATATATATATATCATATGTAACTTAAACACACACACACACTCTCACACACACATACATACATATATATATATATATATATATATATATATATATATATATATATATATATATATATATATATATATATATATATATATATATATATATATATATATATATATATATATATATATTTATTTATTTATTTATTTATATATATCTGTCTGAGAGAGTGTGTGTGTGTGTGTTTTTTAAGTTACATATGATGAGATATAAATAAACATAGTCTTATATAGTTTGATACATATGTGTGATTTGTATATAGGTATACATTTAGAATTAAGCATCTGACTCAACTTTCAGGATCATTAGAAATCACATTGATTGTTGTCGCTGTCATAATTACACTAATTGTGATGCTAGCCGCATTGTATTGGTAGGTGTATAGAGTTTTTGTCTTTTTAAAAGTCGTTTATATATTTTTATTGCTGTTTTAATATAATATAACCAATAAACAACGACTAGTTCTATAGAGCTATTCAATTTCAATTAGAGTATTAAATCAAACATGTAAATAAGAACTTGTATTGCAAAAGAAAACTAAATATTTTATTTTATTTGACTTAGTTAACTCTTTGATTTAACCCTCTTTTTGGGCCTCAATCATAACATTCCATTCTGTACCGTAGCCTGGTTTTGATGTTGCAACTTCACATGACATTCCTGCTGTCTTTAGTTATTCAATTGGGCATTCATATTTTTCGCTTTCCCTGCGGGTTGCACTCAAGTGCCTGTCTATTGTTGTTCTTGTTAATCTTAAAACGTATGCGCAGTGAGAGGACTACTAACGCATCGACTGTGGGTAGGGCAAGATCATGTGCAAATTCTAGAGATGTATAGCTCATTATTTAATTATTTCAATTATTCTACACATAGTTTCAACCATCTAATATAAAAAATACCTTCTACCTAGTTGCTGTATGAAGTGGCTATGTCTGGGTGTAGCAGGTCATTCTGACAACTCCTTTAATGCCAGAGAGAGCAGTGCTCAAAGAATGAAAAGCACTAATCTTTGAAAGTGTATACCTCAGGTTAGTGTATCGATATTCTGTGCTCTGGTTTTGAGATAATTTTACTGACAAAATTCATTTATCAATCTGGTTATTTTGTGGTTTTATTCTTTTTTTAACATTTTAAACATAACTTCACACTTTGATTATATATTGTTTTAAAACATAAATGCATGAAGGGAAAACTTCAGACTTATTTAAATATGTAAATAAATGTTACTGTTTGAATATTTTACTAGGTTTTAACTTTCATTTGAAACAATGTAACTAAACTTTCTCCACACATACCGGATTTTACTTGTGTCGTTACTCGAAAGTGAATATTTTAAAAAATCAGAGTCAATATACTTTTAACTTTTCTTGTAGTCTCATTAGTTCACAAAGCCAATGTGTCAATTTCTAATTTAAGTAGTTTCACAATTAATCTTGTTTTATTGATAGAATACACGTTATGATGAATAGATCTTTTAAATATACCAATGATAAAATTAGTAAGTGTAAAGACAATAAATAGTAATATAAATTTACATACTTAAATATAAGATAGATTGCTTTTTTTTAAATTTGCAAACATAAACACATTCATTAAAAACATATTTATTAAAATAATAAACCCAAATAAATACGTTTGTTACTTGCAATCATATTTATTTTATTGACAAATCATATTCAAAATTAAGCACTAAGTAATTTACTAATTCACTAACATTTTAGATTGATCAAGATACTTTTTTAGTTGTAAATCTATAATGATTACTTTACGAAACATTAAAAGTTTAATACTTTTATTATATTATAGGTATACAGTATTGAATTTTAAATATATTTATTATTAAATGCAAACAATAAAAACAACATTGTTTTGATAAAATAATTAAAATAGAGATGTTAATGCATATTGTTAATATACTTTCAGCTTTATGACATCTGATTCTCGGATGAGTGTAGCCGTACAAGATACTAACGGACCAAAGAAACAAAAAACTAACATAGATTATCACCCTCCTCCCACTCGACATATTTCTTCTATTGGAAGAACTTAAAAAGGCCATAAAATATCTTCCAATTTCTCGTCGCCGTGAAAAAATATAAATAAAACCAGCACATTAAAAACCATCTTATTGATCTAGATTCTAGATCTAGCTAGATTTCTAGAGCTGCACATTAACGAACTAAAGATTTAACAAAAAGTCAATGCTGAAACTCTTTATAATGCCATATTTTCCTATCAGTTGAAATACTGAAAGTAAAGAACACTGAAATTTAAATCAAAGTGTGTTATGTATAAGAATGTCGACATAACCTACAAATTTCTGTATACATGTGTATGAACAAAAGAGTGTGTTGATGAACAGGTCACATCTCTCTTGAAAGCAAATTTCTTGAACATAAAATCTATTTCATCAAAAGTTTGTTTAGTTTAAAATATTTCGGGAATTCTCATTAGCAAATTGATTCGCACTTTTAGCTCTAAGATTTTGTAGACAACACGGCTGTTGTGTGAAGGGCCGGCACTAGGTTATTTAGCGCCCTAGGCAAAACTTATTAAAACGGATATACTCTCTACTCGTGTAATAAAATATACTCTCTACTCCTGTAATAAAATATACTCTCTACTCCTCTGTATCAAACTCTTTACGCTACTCCATATCCCCCCCCCCACCTCCCTGTTTTTCTTATAAACCCTCGCTAGCACCTAATCCGTCTGTCTTTTAGCTCCCTGCTAAGCAGAGGCGTAGCGACCCTTCCCGGCGCCCGGGGACATACTTTCAATTTGGCGCCCCCCTCGGGAGCAAATTTTCGATTTGCACCCCCCCCCCTCGAACTTTTCATTTGCACCCCCCCCTCAAACTTTCGATTTGCACCCCCCCCCCTCGAACTTTTCATTTGCACCCCCCCCCCTCAAACTTTCGATTTGCACCCCCCCTCGAACTTTTCATTTGCACCCCCCCCCTCAAACTTTCGATTTGCACCCCCCCCCTCGAACTTTTCATTTGCACCCCCCTCAAACTGTCAATTTGGCGTCCCCCCCCGCCCCCCCCCCCTCGCTACGCCTCTGCTGCTAAGCCTACCTTCCCAATAGTTCCACCTGGTCCTCAAACTCTCAAGAGCCTTATTGGTGCTCCCTTGTCAAGAGCCTTATTGGTGCTCCCTTGTCAAGAGCCTTATTGGTTCTCCCTTGTCAAGAGCCTTATTGGTGCTCCCTTGTCAAGAGCCCAACTATTTCTATTTTACACCCCCCCACCCCCCACCCCCTAAAGACTTAATCGCTTAACAGTACAGTAGTGTCGTTATTTAAAATTTAAATATGAGACCTATATTAAAATGTTTCAACTTTTGCAAATGCACTTTATTTTTCGCTTTTTGATTGAAAAATATTGAGTGTATTGTTCATTATCAGTTTTAAATGATGCTGGTTTATTGAACAAGATGAATTATTGTGTTGTTATTTTAAATGGATAGAACAAATAGTTTGGTGGCCTTTATTGGTTTTCCAATAGATTTTTTTATCGTCAATGAATTATTTCTTTATTTTACACTAGCGTAACAACCGGTTTTACACTAGCGTAACAACCGGTTTATCCTCATTGCTTAAAGAAAGGTCGAAACACGTAAAGTTAAATACAAGAAATCTCCATATCCATAAGACAGTTTCAAGACACCCGTGCGACGCCGCCCGGTCTGCTAGTCTAGATCTAACGACAACAATCGTCTAGAATGTACAGACACAGGTTATTTATTGTGCCAGTACAATAAAACGTCAGCAAAACTTCGTGTACGGTACTGATAAGCCGCCTTAGCTTTAAAACTATGTTTGCCAAGGAATGATTTTAAACGTTTTGATTTCTATAGAACATTTTAGTTTTAAAATGTGTATTTTGTGTCACGGTTGGCTGGCGTTATAGTGCCTAGCTAATGGGACATGCAGCTTTCACGGACGAGTGGGAACAGGGCTGTATGTGATATGCTGCATTCGATGCCGTACTGCGCCAGATATGTGGTGTTTTAGGCTAAGAGACATGTGAATAAGACAGTGGAGTTTGAGTTGTGTAGTGCAATCCTTATCTGGCCCATTGTGCTGGTGTGTTTTCTACACAGAGATCCGTGGCTTCGTCAAGCAAGCTGGTGTACGTTGTACATCATTTTATAAGGTTTGTACAGGTTTATTTATCACTTCTACAACCTTTGCTCATTGTTTTTTTTAAAGTCTAGCGGGTTCCTCTGTACTGATTGATCTATAGTAGAGTCTATTTGGGTGATTCTTATTTAGATACTCTTACGAGATGGAATTTTGTGTTTCTCCATCAGATTATACCATTTAACCTTGCCCTAACCAATATTAAATACGTTCCCAATATTCTACAATCTACCTATCTATAATCTGTTCTCTTTGCCAGACTAGAAACGTATCCTACTATCTCACTATCTAAGAGCTATTGTTGTACCACACTAAAGACTTATCCTACTATCCACCTATCTAAGATCTGTTATGCCCCAATGGAGACTTATCCTACTATCTACTTATCTAAGATCTGTTATGCCCCAATGGAGACTTATCCTACTATCTACTTATCTAAGATCTGTTATGCCTCACTGGTGACTTATCCTACTATCTACTTATCTAAGATCTGTTATGCCCCAATGGAGACTTATCCTACTATCGACTTATCTAAGATCTGTTGTGCCCCACTGGAGACTTATCCTACTATCTACTTATCTAAGATCTGTTATGCCCCAATGGAGACTTATCCTACTATCTACTTATCTAAGATCTGTTATGCCTCACTGGTGACTTATCCTACTATCTACTTATCTAAGATCTGTTATGCCTCACTGGTGACTTATCCTACTATCTACTTATCTAAGATCTGTTATGCCCCAATGGAGACTTATCCTACTATTTACTTATCTAAGATATGTTATGCCCCACTGGAGACTTATCCCACGATCAACCCGTGTAATATTTCCCCACTGTAAGATCCGATTAAGTGGGCTGAGATTATCGCCCAGTTAAACCTTGTTTGCCCACTTTAGCGGCGTCACAGATCGCGGCAGAACTTAGGGCTCAGTTACTGTCTTTTTATAGCTCAGTGTTTACAACCAGACCTCAGCAGAGGGATTACAAGTGTAAAACCATGTAAACCAGACTGTAAAGCCATGTAAACCAGACTGTAAAGCCATGTAAACCCGACTGTAAAGCCATGTAAACAAGACTGTAAAGCCATGTAAACCCGACTGTAAAGCCATGTAAACCCGAATGTAAAGCCATGTAAACCCGACTGTAAAGCCATGTAAACCCGACTGTAAAGCCATGTAAACCCGACTGTAAAGCCATGTAAACCGACTGTAAAGTCATGTTAACCCGACTGTAAACTCCTGCTCATTGAATAACATCGAAGAGAGATTTTAGTATGTCAAATACGTTCGTCTACGACTTTAAAAAAATATTGTTTAAAAGCGTTTTCTGAACTTTGGATCATGATAAAACAGTTACTGTGAAACGTGGAGCTATTATGAAACATCTTGGCAGGAAAGAGAAGGTCTCAAAATAAAATAGTTTTTTTCAACATCAAAGGGCATCATTTTGAAACCATCTTTTGTGTGTGTGTGTGGTTGTGTGTATATTTTTTAGTGTCCGTGAGTTTTGAGAAGTCTTCACTCTTCCTGATAGAGCCACATCACACCTTCACAGAAAAGCACGAAATGTCCTTCACATTATATACCAACTGGTGATATTTGATGAATCCTGTTTGAACCTTGATTAGGGTTTGATGTGAAACTACAGGGATTGTTATCAGCCTTACTTTGTCCATCTATTATTCAGGCTGAAAAGTATCGATGCTTACATTATGTTTAATCAAATCCAACTTATCTGTACCAATTTTCCGATACGTGTAGTTTAATCCACATCTACAATTTAATTCACACCCACAATTTGATCCACATCCACAGTTTGATCCACATCCACAATTTGATCCACATCCACAATTTGATCCACATCCACAATTTGATCCACACCCACGATTTGATACACATCCACAACTTGATCCACATCCACAATTTGATCCACATCCACAATTTGATCCACATCCACAATTTGATCCACATCCACAATTTGATCCACACCCACGATTTGATACACATCCACAACTTGATCCACATCCACAGTTTGATCCACATCCACAATTTGATCCACATCCACAATTTGATCCACATCCACAATTTGATCCACACCCACGATTTGATACACATCCACAACTTGATCCACATCCACAATTTGATCCACATCCACAATTTGATCCACACCCACGATTTGATACACATCCACAACTTGATCCACATCCACAATTTGATCCACATCCACAATTTGATCCACATCCACAGGCATAATGGGGAACAAACTCTTTCGGCAGAAGAGAAAAGACGGGAACTACAGACGTTATGCAGACCGACAGAGGTAAAAAGATGTAGTAAACAGCCAGTCTTGTTAGCTCCATATTGTTATACTTTCTCTGATACTGTGTGTTAGCTCCATATTGTTATACTTTCTCTGATACTGTGTGTTAGCTCCATATTGCTATACTTTCTCTTATACGCAAAAGTATCATCTTTTCCCGTTTGTGCCCAAGACACGTAGGTCAGATGAAGTAGAGTTCACCTGTTTCAGAGACCTCGGCATGTGAAAGGGATAGTGTGGTCAGCACTACGCGTAGCCGCCTTTGTTTTCGCTAGCGTAAGTTAGCTACCTATCAGAGCTGGGTGAACTCAGGGACATTCTACTGAATTGAACCCGGATTCGAACTCGAGACTTAGCAGTCTAGCTCTCTACCGCCTAGCCACGCTCTTACTAAAGTATAACTGATTTCAAATGTATGTTAGAAATAATTCCATCTATGCAGAACTGTCTTAGCTCGGTCGAGTGTTGTTTCAGACACTAAGAAATGTTGATGTTTCAGACACCAAGAAATGTTGATGTTTCAGACACCAAGAAATGTTGATGTTTCAGACACCAAGAAATGTTGATGTTTCAGACACCAAGAAATGTTGATGTTTCAGACACCAAGAAATGTTGATATTTCAGACACCAAGAAATGTTGATGTTTCAGACACCAAGAAATGTTGATGTGGAGAGAAAAGAAAGCTTTGGGGGAAGAAGAAGATGTTGACGACTTAAATTGCAACTGCACTTCAGTTATGGACGGTGAGTTTAGATGTGAGGTATGGGTTATGGGTGGTGAGTTTAGATGTGTGGTGTGGGTTATGGGTGGTGAGTTTAGATGTGTGGTGTGGGTTATGGGTGGTGAGTTTAGATGTGAGGTATGGGTTATGGGTGGTGAGTTTAGATGTGAGGTATGGGTTATGGGTGGTGAGTTTAGATGTGTGGTGTGGGTTATGGGTGGTGAGTTTAGATGTGAGGTATGGGTTATGGGTGGTTAGTTTAGATGTGAGGTATAGGTTATGGGTGGTGAGTTTAGATGTGAGGTATGGGTTATGGGTGGTGAGTTTAGATGTAAGGTATGGGTTATGGGTTGTGAGTTTAGATGTGAGGTGTGGGTTATGGGTGGTGAGTTTAGATGTAAGGTATGGGTTATGGGTGGTGAGTTTAGACGTGTGGTGTGGGTTATGGGTGGTGAGTTTAGATGTGAGGTATGTGTTATGGGTGGTGAGTTTAGATGTGAGGTATGGGTTATGGGTGGTTAGTTTAGATGTGAGGTATGGGTTATGGGTGGTTAGTTTAGATGTGAGGTATAGGTTATGGGTTGTGAGTTTAGATGTGAGGTGTGGGTTATGGGTGGTGAGTTTAGATGTGAGGTGTGGGTTATGGGTGGTGAGTTTAGATGTGAGGTATGTGTTATGGGTGGTGAGTTTAGATGTGAGGTATGGGTTATGGGTGGTTAGTTTAGATGTGAGGTATAGGTTATGGGTTGTGAGTTTAGATGTGAGGTGTGGGTTATGGGTGGTGAGTTTAGATGTAAGGTATGGGTTATGGGTGGTGAGTTTAGACTTGAGGTATGGGTTATGGGGTGGTGAGTTTAGATGTAAGGTATGGGTTATGGGTGGTGAGTTTAGATGTGAGGTATGGGTTATGGGTGGTGAGTTTAGACGTGAGGAATGGGTTATGGTTGGTGAGTTT